TGGGGACAGTTCCTACTGCATTCTGATGTGTAACAGGGTGCTAAGCTTTTGGTCCCTTGTCTCAAGAAAGAGAGGGACCAACTGGATGAAAAAAAAGAACAAAGAGCAGGCTAGAAAAATGTTGCTTTAGGAACTAATGGACCCCCCAGGGGCTGCCCTGCTTCAGAGAGGAGTCTGGGGAGGGAAGATACAGATGGCTATCACACTTGTAATATGAAAAACCTGCCACTAAGAGGACAGAAAAAGGAGAAAAGCAATAAGTCAAATGAAAGAAAATTCAAGGTAGAGCTGTTTGGTGGCTGGCAGGACAGGTTTCCAAACAAATCAGTGAATTATTAGTTGGAAGTCTCAGCACTGCAAGTTGTTAAGAATTCCATGGCAAGTATATTGAGGCTGTAGCTGAATCAACTACACTCACTTAGGGCAAAGAGAAGGTAGAAGCCAGAATGTGCTCTTCAGGTCCCTGTAGTATTGGCTGAAGCAAGCATGTAAGTAAAATGTGAAATAGCCCAGCTCTGTGGCTGTGTGTATCTGGCTTCTCCAAGGACCAGAAGCAAACATGTTTTGTCTTGCACAAGCATGTAACTGAGCGCGTGTAAAGGACAAAATAGTGTAACAAATTGTAGTAAAGTGCAAGGAGGTTTTTTGAGCATACACAAACAAAGTGAGAGTAAATATACACATGTGTAGATATAAAATAAAGGATTGCCAGTTGGCGATGAAAATATTAATCAGATGCAGATATTTTCAGCATTTTTAGTATATATGTTTTGTCCCCTGATAATGAACTAGTAATCTGTACTCACAAAACATGTAAATACAGTGATGCTCTGTACATAAAATAGCAGCTCTGTGTAAATAAGCTGTATTTTCTTGATGTGGGATTGTTTTGCAAATTAAAAGGATAAAATTGAGTAATTTCAGCTTACCATTTATTTCCTCAAAGTGTGTGACCTGAAGTGGGACTCTTTACAGCAACCCTTGTGTTCCCAGAATTGTGTTCCCGGATTAAGGCCAGGTCTGGGGAGGAGGGCACTGCCTCTGCCAGGAAGGCCCAGGGGCAGCAGCTCCGCTTGCTGGAAACTCCCCCAAATGTGTAATTCTCAGGGCAGCAAGAGGGAGTTACCTTAGTGTTCATGTCATTCCTTCAAGCCTCCTTATATTCAGTTCTCAGTAAATGCTGGTATCTGAGTTAGAATTTAATTTGAAATGTGATTCAATTTTACCAAGCAAGGACAGTATTATTTACCATTACTGTAAGCCATAATGTTTAGCCTTTTTATAGAGCTAACTACATACCTCACATCCAAAAATAAGAAAGCACAGGCCTCCAACTCCTGCTTCTGTTGGAGAACATCTGAAAAAAGGCTTTGGCTTTCTGCTGTCCTTTCTACCTGTCCATACCTGAGGCTCTGGAGTAAGTTTTGTCCAGCTCTGCAGTATCTCCAGCAGATGTACTTGGCTCAGGCAGCTTTCACTTTTTCACTTTTGCCAGGAGGACAGGGCAGAGGAGAAAGGGGAAATGCACACCTGAATTCCTCCTTCCTTGGGCAAGTACAGAACTAAACCTCACTGAACCAGAAGAGCATTTCACAAATATTTACCCTTAAATTACTAGGTCAGGTTTTCACAGAATACAATACATGTTTATGCAAACAAACATATCTTAGAGGAACTCTCAAAGAAGTTAAAACTGATGCATTCATAGTGAGTTTTGAGAAAAGACTCTAACAGACAGGCCAAGCAGTAAGAAAACTTGCAATAATTCCATTTTCAAACACCATTAAATTCAAGGTACTCCTTTTGAAGGATTACCCTGGTCAAAACACTTTCTCTTCATCTCATAGTGAAACAACTCATGTTGGTTTTCTGGGAACCTGAACTTTTTTTTTTTAAACATGCTATACAGAGTTGGTTGTTACACCCACCCCCTTTCCCCTCAGGCAAAACATCATGTCAGTTAGTTCTTAAAAAAGAAACAGCTTTAAAATAATGGCTTTTGAAGACTACAGAAAGTTTTTGCATTTGCCCCTTTAGCTCTGCTCTAATGCAGAAGCAGAGCAAGAAATCTGAATGACACTATTGCTGCCACAGCGCTTCTGAAATCATGGGGGAGCTGTGCAGTGGGGACAGCCAGGGTATTGTTCTGTAAAAAGCAGCATGAAGGACTGGGAAGAAAGGAAATAAGATGGAAAAAGCTGAAGAACCGTCAGGGAAGAACAGAAGCAGGAACCAAACACCTAATTAACTCTATAGGATTAATACATGCTTCAGAAGGACATTAAATACAATTCAAATGTGTGGTCAGTTAAGTAGGTATTATGCCTTGAACATGTTATTAAATAGCTTTGATCTAGGCACCGTGGCACCAGCACCCACACACGTGAATGCTACTCCTTCCTCCATAGTGTAGCAGTTATGGACCCAACCAAAAGCCCCCAAAAGATTTAAGGTAGCAGAACAAAAGCTTAACTTAAGCTTGGTATATTCCCAGTAAGCTTTTTTTTTTTTTCCCCTACAACTAGACCAACATTTTTTTGAAACATAAACACTTTAAGCTTCACTTCATGATTGTGGAAGAGATGGATTCTACCCAGACTTTCTCCTCATTTAAGCAGCATTTCTGTTCTCAAGAGCTACAAAGTAAAAAAACTTTAAAAACTAAAAAAATAGATCAAACATCAGTGAAGGGCAGCTCACTCTTCCAGAAATAGGCTATAAAAGCCACATTTAGTAGTAGTCCCAGAGCTCATTAGCAAGAACAATATGGAGCTTCAGTTCAGAAAACAACCATCAAATAGCTAGTAGTTGTGTGAGATGCCTCCGCAGGAAGCAGTTGCCACATTTAGAAGGCAGATTTCCCAAATTTCTTAATTTGGGAAGAAAGTCCACAGCTACAGCATTCATACTTGTGGAAAGGACTTACTGTAAAAGGCCTTTTCTGCACCTGGAGCAGCAAACTGGAGACCTACACTCCAACCCATGCAGCTAGGCTCTTTTCTAACAGCCTTCACTTCAGACTTCTCTTGGGAACCATCTTCAACAATAACCTGCTACTTTTAAACAGTCTCTGCTTTGCTTTAAGTATAATCCCATTACTTGAGACACTAGGAAGTAAGTAGTGCAAGAATCACATTTGAAAAGAGGAAATTTAGGTATAAGTAGTTGACAATAAGAGCACGGGAGATAAAAACAAAGAAGTTTACCCCAGTCTTTGTATTCTTTAAGTGCACAACACATTCACTACTTTTTCTGTTTGTCAGGTGAGGGAAGAATGAGTTAATCTGCATTTAAGTGTCTGAAAAGCCCACCACTAAACCATGCCTTTTAAATACCTCCAGGGATGGCGACTCCATTGCTTCCCTGGATGGCCTGTTCCAGGGATTTCAGGAAAGAAGGCTTTCCCAATGTCAAATCTAAACCTCCCCTGGCACAATCTGAGGCTATTTCCTCTTGTCTTATCACTTGTTACTTAGGAGTAGAGTTCAATCCCCACCTCACTACAACCTCCTTTCAGGTAGCTGTAGAGCACAGTAAGGTCTCCCCTCAGCCTCCTTTTCTCCAGACTTGCCAGCCCCAGTTCCATCAGCTGCTCCTCCTAAGACTTGTGCCCTAGACCCTCCACCAGCTTCACTGCCCTTCTTTGGACACACTCGCAGTACCTCAGTGTCTTTCTTGTGGTGAGGGGCACAGAACCGACCACAGTATTTGAGGTACAGCCTCACCAGTGCCAAGTACAGAGGCATTTGAACCTGGTTCCTCTGCATCCTATGTGCTTGTCTCTAAAACCATTTGGCCATTAGTTACCATATTCTGAAGAAAGTTGAAATGTAATTTAAGTACTGGCTAAGGTTCAGAAACTTATTTCTTCCAAAACAAACCAAAAATAAACTGAAAGGTTGTAATTACATCTATTCAATTCCTTAACAAACCTTTCCCTGGGAGAACAGCTGTGGTTGCAACACCATCCCAATTCAATACAAAAAGCAGATGGAGCATGTGCAGCTCAGCTATGCTTTCAAAGCTGGTCTTCTCAACAGACCTCAAAGCCTGCTAGCCATTCACTGGCCCACTAGTCAAGAAATTGCCATTTATAGAGCCAAAAAGCATAGGAAGCTTCAGCTTATAAGCAAAGCATAACACCAGCTTAACACCACAATTTGCATGTAGTAACTCTAATGGCAAAAGAAGAACAGTTTTTATCCGATGTCCTGTGATTTACCTACTGAATCCTGCACTTACCAAACTGGAAGTTCACATTAGCAATTAAAAGGAAAAAAAAAAAAAAAAGAGTCAAATTACTCTGTGTGTGTATAATACTAATTCAAAGTCATCACTGGGAAGCTGTCAGAATGTCCCTCTGAAGTACTATAATTACAGGCACCAATTTGCTTTCACTGTGCAGCAGGTGGTGGTAGCATTTTGTAACTGAACAATTTAATATGCAAGGTATTCCCCCTGCAAACCTTGTAAACTGGGTTTAACCTGCACTAAAAAGCAGTTAAGAATCAGAAACTGAAGTCAGTGCCAAGCAGATACCCACTGTGCTGCTTCAGGTTTTGGCAGTGGCAGAAGCTGGAGAACCTCACCAGGGGCTGCCTGTTTATTCTTTGTTTTAGTCTCCATTTGAGGTTTACACTTTTCTTGGCCACTGAGTTGTCATACACCTCCCAGTGCTAGGCTCCAGCCTTCAAAGTCCCAGCAAGTTATCCTGGTATCCTTCAGAAGCTAGACATAAGCATGCAGTTAAAAACAGAACAAAACAAGAAAAAAAAAAAAATCAGAAAGCAAAAGTAATGCTAGGCAAAACGTTTAGACCACAGATGGCATCAGAAAAAAGCATTCAGTGTTTTACTTCTTGTCTAAAATGAGTTCTGTCAACACAGCAAGTCTTATATACAATAAAAAGCACAGGTCTGAAATACCTTCTATTAAAATACCAGAAAGCCAAGAAAAGCTTCAAACTGGACAACAATGGGAATGTTTATCCTGAAGACCTCTCAGTCAAGGATCCGACTGGACGACTGCATGACTGATCTGCTCTCTAAGATGATTGGTGGCTCTGAGATGAGGAGATCATCCTCACCTAGTGAAGAGTTCTGCTCAGTGTTCACAAAGTTCGGAATGTTAAATTTTGTAAGACAATTTAGGTCCTCCTCAAATGTTCCACTGGTCCTGGGAACTTCCTGGAAGTGGATATGACTCGCCAGCCCTGGACCTTTCTGACTTTGTTTTGCTTTGTCCAAATGTTCCACTTCATTAATACAGAAATGGAAAAGTGACTGAGATTCTTCAGCTATTTGACGAGAAAAGACCCTCTCTGACTCCAGAGGTCTTCCAAAATCTGCCACAAAGCTGTTCAAGCGAAGTCTTTTCTCAGAAGGTTCTGCATTGCTAGGGAGGAAAAAGAAAAATACAGTAAGCACAAAAGTAGAACTATTCAAGCTTTTAACAGCAAATTTGGTTTCAGCAGCCAGTATGATCAGGAAGAAAGGAAACCCTACAGTTTTAATACAACAAACTTTAAAAGGCAGCATTATTTGTTATTCTCTACTCAGGTTATTTTAAGTCTTGATTTGTCATCATAATTTTCCATGGAAATAAGTTATCAATGCCAGCACTCTAAATGGCACTTCTAGTCATCAATATACTGTAATAATCAACTCATTGAATGAGCTCAGAAATACCCTTCAGTACTTCCTCTTGATATCAAGCAGTATCAAGCAGTAACAAGTTTTTAAAGGTGGCTTATAGAACACTCAGGGAAAAGTCTTTGCTCAAGGAAATCAGAGACACAAGCAGCACCACTGTCACTGAAGGCATAATTTGAGTGCCTGGTTGCCTGGACATAAACCCATCCTTTCCACTGACTCCAGTCAATGACATCCAGATATCCAAATTAGAAGAGCCGGAACTAAAGACTGACCGAAAGACTGGCAGTCCTAACAATTCAGACACATAGCCCAGGAAGGACATCTTAACATCTTTCTTAGAGTTTTCTAGAAGTGTTAATTCAAATCAACTCCAACCTGTCTGGACTTACATAGGATCCATGCACAGCCTGGGGAGAGGAAAGCTCAAGCTAGACCAAAGTTTCACAGACAGTAATACAGGCTTAATTCATATGCTATTATCACAAAATACACATTATTTGCATCAGAAAGGCAGCAAAAGTATTCAGAGGGTGAGTAGTGAAAAATCTAAACATATTCTGAGTATGTAAGTTTTTTAAAGTAAGAATTAATAAATCATACTGTTTATATGTGAACATGAAGCAAATGACACTGGAGTTAGGGCAGCTGGATGCCTAAAGGTGCACACAGCACTTACAGAGATTTTCAGAGAAAAATATAATTTCATTCCCTCGAGCCTGCAGTAGGAGATAAGTGCCTACATGCTTTTGAAAGCCTCAGATGGCATTTTTAGAAATCTATCCCTAAAACCTTCAAGTTCACAGGATGCCTACCATTAGTCTTTCAGTCACAGTTAATCTTAAAAGATCCCTGCTTCCGAAATGCTCATTTACTTCCATTACCCAATTTGAGAATTCAACCCTAACAAAACTGGTTACACCAGCCTGCAAGTCAAAGCACTCATTTGTCAGAACTGTATTGGCTCATTCTGCATGGGAAGCATGTAGAATCATAGAATCCTTTAGG